CATTCATGACACAAGACATATACACCTTAGCTTTAATGAGATACCATGTTTCTAGATCAGCTGGGAAAAAATCCTAAAGCTTTGACAATATATTTCATTGATATGCAGCAGAGGAGCAGGGACTCTCACACATGACTGGTGAGAATGTACCTAGATACAATTCTATACAGAGGGGAAATATTAGAATTAAAAATGCACATCCTGCTTTTGGTATTTTATACTTTAGATATCCTTACATGATAGATATAAGGTCGTTCACAGTGACGTAGTCAAGAGTTGGAAGCAATCAAATTCCCAACAATTAATGACTGTGGAAATGATGTTGTACATTCAAAGCATAGAGTCATGTCACTGGAATAAGGGCAGAGGAGCCCTTAGTGTGTCAGCACAGGACCATTTCAAGACATAATGTTAAGATGAAATCAGGATGCAGAATCAGATGCATAATGACATGCGTTTTTTTGGTGTGTGTGTGTGCGTGTGTGTGTGCGTGTGTGTGTGTGCGTGTGTGTGTGTGTGTTGTAAGAGGGAGACTATGTTTGTGCTGATTCATAGAAATGTGTGTCCTCAAGAGAAGTGAAGGACATCATCTGGAAGAATATTCAACAGTATACAGGCTGTTAGGTTTCTGTCAACTTGACAGAAACTAGGGACCTCTGAGGAGGACCTTCAATTGGAATAGTGCCTCCATTTGATTGGCTTATGGGAAAGTCGGGAATATTTTCTATGTGGGAGGACTCATTCCACTGTGTGTGGCACCATTCCCAAGCAGGTGCTTCTGGGTGGTATAAGAAAGTAGCCTGAGCAAGCCATGAGGAGCAAGCCGGAAATCAGTGTTCCTCTACACTCTTTGCTCCAGTTCCTGCCTCCAGACGCCTGCATGAGTTCCTGCCCTCCCTTCCCTGACTGTAACGTGGAGGTGTAAGCAAAACAAACGCTTTCCTTCCCAATTTACTTTTGGTCATGATTTTTATCACAGCAATAGAAAGCAAACTAAGACAACAAGCTAGTAAATGATGGGGTCGGGAGTGACTAAAGAGTCATAGGAACTTCTGTTGTACTCCATAATATGTCCATCATTTAAAATGCAGAACAAAATTACAAATGACTTGGTGGAAGGTGAACATCTTCTCACATCTGCAGATTTTTGTGGTCCAGAGTCTCCTGTTCAGGAAGATAGCACCAGCAAGGGTGTGACCCTCATAGGTACATGAATTTGCCTTATCTTTCTTTAGCTAGTTGGGAAAACTCAGGGTGAAATAACTCCTAGGGGTCAGCAGAGTAAGAACAAGAGGTCCAGTGGATATGGGAATAGACAGGGTTCATTCTGATGTGATTTATTCGGAGGCGAGTTCCTATAAGGAGTGTCATCACAGGCAGAGGCTACACCTCAGAAGAGAATTTCTTCCATTTATTCTGGGTAAAATATTTTGGCTCATCTTAGAGAAAAATATTCTTAAGAGCTTGTAGCAATCAGAACATTTGCATTACATTTAATTTTAGGTTGAAATATGAAATATACAGTGCCCAAAGTAATAAGTCAAATTATCTGCTCCTACGAACAACTTTTAAGCCAATACAGATGGTACAACCATTAAGTTCAAGAAGTGTAACCACCATGTCCTGAATTAAGTTGGGTACCTCTTTATACACCAATTGGATATCTGGACTGTTCCTGTAATGAACATGTTTAATACTTAGTCCATTTTTTTATTGAGCTGTCTTTCACAGGTCTTCACTGAATTTGTGTATTATTAAAGAATCTGAATGATGAATGATTAGCTTTGGAAGTTCAACGTGTAGCCAGAAGGCGTTTATGATATTTTCACAATACTTCTACATAATTAATCTGTTAGCACAAATGATATATTAGAGAAATTGAGCCTGAGCATCTGCTCAGTGTACTGTCTACCTACCGGCAGCCTGATCAATGTATGTTGCTAATGCCAGCAGTCAGCATTCACCAAACCCTTGTGACAGGTAGGGCCCTGGGTTCGACATTTCATGAGAGTTATTTGCTTCTTCCTTTCCTAGTAAAACCTTTCTAGAGAAACCCTCACACCTAGAGATGTGTTTCCATGGTGATCCAAAATCTTGTCAAACTCACAATTAAGATTAATCATCATACTTACTTCTTCCAACAGGTTTATGTGAAATAAACCATCAGGTTTGAAGTCTTAGAGGAATTGACAATTAATGACTGAACTCAAAGAGTGATAAGGCTGGGAGTTGATTGGTCATTGAACTGGAGCCAACACGTTCATCTTAATTATCACAATGCCTCAAAACAAAGTTGCCATCTGGCATCAACTTTGGGGTTATTTCATACTAAGGACAATCACTAGTTCTAAAACAAGGGAATGTAATTAACAACTTAAGTAAATATGTTAAAATTTAAATCTCTAGAAATAGAGCCTAATTCATTATAGAGGATACGGACACAGAAAATAGCACTTAATGTGGGAACTATGTTTGTGTTATAGTCAATGTGTGAATGAATGACAAATAGATTTTTAAACTTTGTATTGGAAAATAAATTTGAGTAAATAATCTCAGATACTCATAACCCAGAGTCATGTTTTTATTTTGGGGGGCAAGACTATCTCTTCATTAACCATTTATTTGACAAAACCTAGAATCATCCAAAAAGAATCACAATTGAATGATTGTCTTTTCAGGTTGGCCTGTTTGTAAGAGACTGTCTTGATTGTCTTAATTGACATGGAAGGGGCAAGCCCACTGTGGGAGCACCATTCTCTGGGCAGACAATCCTGAGTTAATAAGAGAGCTGGCTAAGAGGGAGTCAAAGTGTGGGTCAGCAAGCAGGGTTCCTCTGTGGTCTCTTCTTCGAGCTTCTGCTTTGAGTTTCCTCAAGGATGGGCTGAGACCTAGACGTGTAAGACAAATCAACCCCTTACTTCCCTAAGTTTCTTTTGGTCAGAGTGTTTTATTACAGTGACAGAATGAAATTAAAACAGTGACTATGGTAAAATAAACAGTGACAGCAAATCTACCTCCACAATCCTTAATACCTCCTCTGAGTTCCCCAGACTAGGGAAGATGACAACTCCAGTGCAATTGTGTTGAGTCTCAAAGGAAATTCCTAGTGATTAATAAACACAACTCACCAAGATGTTCACAAGCAAGTCTCTAAGCATCACTGCTTATTTAATAAAACCCCACAGTTGTTTGGGAAAAGAAATCTATTTTGAGTTCAGCTTTAAATTTGTTATAAGATAAAAGAACTTGTGGGCAGCTAGTAGGAAGTAGTTAGACTTGGAGAATATAATGAGAACTTAGGGCAGACTCTGGTAGATGGAGATTTCTGAAGCAATTTGTTTTGTTTTGCTTTTTAATGGGGAATTGAAACTCTGAGGTATTTTCCTCCTTGCCTGGAGGAAACCTGCCTGGGTCATGTTCATGGGTCCCACACAGTTGGTGGAGCCATGCTTTTTGTCCCACTGAGACCTTGTTCATGCTATAGCTTCACCAGAAAGACTTACTTTATAGTGTCTCCTTACAGGGTGAACATCCACCCTCCACTGCTTGATGGATTGGATCTCATTGTTGGTGTCTGGAGGGCCATGTCTCAATCTTATGTACTGCTTCCTGGCAGGCCACAGTTCCATGCTCCATGTAACAGACCCATGCACCAGAGTGGCTATGTGACAGGCTTTGGAACTTTCAGATTTAAGTGGCATGACAGATACCATGCTTCATCTTCACATTTAGTAAATTTAAAGGCCACACAATTACACTGTTATCCAATGAATTTGGTCCATTAGTCTTATCTGACATTTAATAGCTTGCGATGTGAGCTATGCATCATTTCCTCTGATAGTCATGACTCTTGTTCATAGGAAACAGTGTTTTATTTTCTTCCATTTTAGAACAGAGGAGATGCTGGGATCCTTGCCTGTGGCCACCTGCCTAGTGGCAAGACATAATTAAAAACTCAGTTCTTCTGTCTCTAACATCAGTATTGGTTTTTGTTTTGTTTTGTTTGAATAACAAGCCTGAAATTGGAGGATTACAGAGGGTTTTCCACAAGACCCACTTGATCCAGGTGCTCTCAGCCCATGAAATAGATGCTTATATAAATTTCACATTACTATTTAACTGGGCAGAACAAGGTAAAGAATAAGCCATTTCAGTGCTGGCTCCAGGGCAAGAAGCATTAGGGAAAATTACTGAGACATCTTGAAAAATCCTGTCTGTGACCCGCCCTCCTCCTACAAGACAAGCAGGCCTGCTTGTGTGTGCTCTGCAACCCCTCGACACTAAAAAGCCATCCATGCTTGCATCTGAACGGAGATGTCTCATTTCTCACGCTGTAAACTCCTGAAAGGATTTGGATTGATGCTTCCCTAGAGGCGGTTTATGAGATGAAAGATTCAATGTCAGTGACATTGTTTGGAGGAGGAAGAGAGGGTACGGGAAGTGGGGCTGTGGTATATAGGAAAGAGGGCAACCTATAGCATATTTGCTAGGGTGCTGGCTACCACCTGAGCAATGACCACTGAACTTCATGAAGCAATCACAGTGTGAAACACATGTTGCAGAGGGATTGTAGCAAAGGGGAGGAGAGCAGGTTACTGTTGAGAGCTACTGGAGTACAGACCTTCCCACCTTCTAGTATGCTGTGCCTAGCACAGTGGCATCATAGAAACACAGATCTTGGCAGGGGAGCATCTTAGATAAAAGGTCCAAGAGAGGTGGTGGGGCACTCAAGGAGGTGGTGGGGCACTGTTGTCCCAGGAACCTGTAATAGGAACTAGGTCTTAACATTCTTAATATGACTTTCACAGTATTGGGGTGGTGGGTACCATCCCCTATAATGATGGATGTACCAACACTGTCAGAGCAGTGGCTGTGAGAAAGGAAGGCAGACACACGTGCAGTCCCTATTGATAAAAGGGAAGAAGTCAGGGCCAGGAAGGCTCTGCAGAGCACAGCACGGCTTCCAAGCAGGTGCATGAGACTGCCGAATTTCTACTCACGCTTTCTCATAAGTTCTGTTGGGATGCTCTGGCCACTCGATCATGCACACGACTCTGCTGGGCATGGTCTCTGTGGTGGAGTAGTAGCCCTGTGGGAAGGCCAGCAGGAGAGCCAGGACCCAGATGACAAAGATGACCACTTTGGTAGCAGTGGCCGACAGCCGGGGCTGGAGGGGGTGAATGATGGCCATGTATCTGCAGTAGAGAAGAAAGGACAACATTCTGTTATTATGTATTTTCCTGACGGTAAGAATTCCCTGAAACCCACTGTTTCCCAATTATTTGTGTTTGTTTATAGTTAGAGGCCAGAAGTCAACCCCCAGTGTCCTTCCTCGGAAGCCATCCATGCTGTCTTTTGGGACAGTCTCTCACTGGACCCTAGGGCTCACCAATTAGGTTCAGACAGCTGGCCATTAAGCTCTGAGAATCTTCTTGACCCTGCCTTTCCAATGATGGGGTTCCTAGTGTGCACCACCACGCCTGTTACCCTAGGTCCAAGGGGATCAGAGGCAGGAGGGTTGTTGGAGTTTGTTGGCTTTCACCCTGGCCAAGATATGAGGTCTGAGTTCAGAGAAAGAACCTCCCTCAATGGAATAGGTGGATAGTGACAGAGAAGAACACTCATTCAATATGTGCATTTGTACACACACACACACACACACACACACACACACACACACACACACACACACACACACACAAAGACCCTGTAAAACAACTCAGATCCTCATATTTGCACAGGAAGTACTGAGATATCTCTGCAGCAGCTCCTCCCAATGATGATTTACAAGTCTTTTCTGAACTATTCTTTTATAGTCTATCTACTCCTGAAACTCCAACTCATGATGTATAATACCAAAAGCCCACAAGGAAAGACAGATTCTTAAAAGAAAAATTGATGACCCATTTAGAAACATTCTAAGAGATATTTTCATTTTTGACATGCTGGAAATACATACCTGGTCAAATACATTTTAGGGGCTGAAAAATGGCCTGCTTCAAGTACTTTCAACATAAAGAGTTTTATTCTTGAGGCCAGAAAGATGGTTTAATGGTTTAGAGTGCTAACTGACCTTCCAGATGACCTGAGTTTGGTTCCCAGGACTTACACTGGGTGGCTCAAAACTGTTTGCCACTACAGCTCCAGGGAGCCTGATGCCCTCTTCTGGTCTCTTCTGGGCAATTGTATTCACGTGCCCATCTACACTCACACATTTACACATGCACACACTTAATTAAATAAAAATAAGTAGAAAAAAGGAATTTTGTTCCCTTTTCTCTCCTGGTGCCAGAGACTGATCCCAGGACCTCATTATTGCCAGGCAAGTGCTCTATCATTGAGCGACATCCCAACCTTCTCTTTTATGCTGTGGGGATCAAAGGACAATGCTGATAGGGATACATCTGGGCTCTGCAGAAGAGGACTCAAAATTCTGCTATAATGGAACCACGAGATGACACAGTCTCATGACCCTGCAGCCGTCTTAGCTTGTAGAAACACACAAATGCTTGATTAATGATGGAAAAAGCCTGACAAAATGATAAAAAAGCCTGATACATTTTCAGATTGTGTCTTCCTTGAACAGAGTGTGATTTCAATGGCTTTAAGAGTCCTTATGTAGCATTAAAAAGCTTAGTAATGAGCTGGGGGTGTATCAAGGACTCAGCTGGTGGAATGGTATCAGCTACCACCTGGGTGACGGGAGCGCAATTTTACGAGGAAACCCTAGATATAGTGTAAAACACAAACCTCAGAGGGATTGCACCAGAGGAGTCACCTAAGACCATTGGAAAACATAGATAGCTATATATGATTTGTAACAGTAACAACATTACGATTATGAAGTAGCAATGAAATAATATTATGGTTGGGGGGTCACCACAACATGAGGAACTTCCTAGTTATAGCACTAGGAAGGTTGAGAGACACTGGCTTAGAGGTTCAGCCATTCTTGGGTCCCCTCATACCTATGATCTAGATTAAAAGATGTCGTCCTGATGAGACTGTGCACAGCCTCTGAGATGCCACAGAGATCCGAGGGACAGTAGACACGACAATCTGCAATTCATATCACACAACAACCCTGCCTGTCCCTTATAAAAGGGTTTTCCAAGTGTATTTTTCTTTAAAATATTATGAGTTTACTTCTTTAAAATATGCATTTTCTCCTCAGAGTGGGAATGGCATTTTACACAACCTTCAGGGTCTAAACATTATCTGACAGGCAGGTAGTTCTTGTTTCTGTGGGACGGAGGGCTCAATGCAGGCTTCAACAATACACAAACATCTGCACAGCTGTCAGCTGGCTCCACGCAGCCCTGCGGAATTGTTTTACTGCATTGCTTGGTCTCCTAGGAACTCTAGGCAAGGACTGGGGCCAGGGTACTAGTAGAGCAATTTCAGTCAGTATGAGCTTCAACAGTTCTCACCAGACACCTGCTGTATGCAGAGTGCAGCCCTCCCTTCAGAAGGCTATAAGTATTTCTCTCCAGAGGAGCAGGCACATTCATAAAAACACAAATCACAACAGCAGATAAATGACCTCAAGTGAAAATTGGATCAATACCTTAACCCCTTAGGGATGTTGCAGAGGCAGTCAAACCTCCAAATGGCAGGCACTCTTAAAGAGATGCTCACTGGATTTGGGTTAAACCTGCTGAGCATCTTACTCTGAGGACAAGCGGTGCTGAAGCCTCCTCCCTCTTCTGGGTTGGGATTAGGTATGACTTTCTGGAAGGTTTAATGATCTGATTTGGACAGATGTTTAAAATTTTGGCTTTCTTAGTGTTCAGTTCTGGGGTCTTGGTTTTCCTCTTCTGGGTTGTAAGAACAAAGACACTGGCAATACTCTGTGTGAGGAGGCTAGATGTAAGAAAGATGCCAAGGTCAGCCTTTCTAGAAACAGTATGATGTATTCCAGGGCTGGAGACATTGGTAAAGTGATTGCCACATAAGTAGGAGGACTTGAGAGTGCGAGCCTCAGGAGCCACATTAAGTGGGGGACATGGTGACACACACCTGTCATACCAGCTCTGTAAGGTGGACACAGGAAAGTCTTTGAGGCTGCCACACCAAATGAGAGACCCTGCCTCAGAAAATAAGGGGGGAAGATGCTGAAGAATGACATCACGGGTGACCTCTGGTGTCTACATGCATGCACGCGTGCGCGTGTGTGCACACGCGCACGCACATACACACACACACACACACACACACACACACACACACACACATGCACCCTACCCAATAAATATAATTAAAACTTTACAAAGAAAGAAGTCACGAATCCCCAGGAATCCTTTCAACTTTCATCAAGATTTCCCTCCCCGGATCCAAAGTGGTCTGGAGGCCATGAAGATGTCGTCTCTCCCAGCCCCATTCAGGCTTCCTCACTGACGTCTGTGCACTCCCAGGCTTTGAGCTAGAGAGAGAACCACAGGGGAGCGTGCAGTAATTACAGCACCCTCTTTTTATATGATCTCAAATGCAAGATTTTAATTTTCCGTTTGCTTCTAAGTCAGGATAAATGCTCAAGCTTAAATAAATGAATCCCAATGCCCACCCCTAAGTTGGAGATACAGCACTTAGAGTCGAATGTGACTACACTTTAGAAGCGTTGCCCCAGTGTACGGCCACATGTCTCCAAATGGGTGACAGAAAGCCATATTTTATCATTACTGCAAAAATTGCTATTTGGAAGCCCATTTTAGTTAACTCTGCACCATTCTTTTAGACCAGGAGCCATTTTGGTGACAAATGAATCAATTGCATGTAGAAACCCCAAGTTAGTGTCAGAGATTGGCTGTAAAAAACACATTTTTCATTTGTTCAAAAATGGTTATAAATTTCTCTTGCTTCCTCCTTTTTTCCTTCCTTCTCATTCTCTCTGCCTTTCCCTGTCTCTCCATCTCTCTCCTCTCCAGCAGTTTGCTTGTGTTGCACACTTCTTTCTTATTTGCTCAGGGCTAGCCTCAGTTGGCTAACCCCTACACAGACAATGGATCTTTCCCTCCCTGCTTTCCATCCCCAGCTCGCATCCCATTAACATACAGTACATGTATCTGGATCCACCCTCAGCAACTCTTTCTTATTTGATTATGAGAAACCTCCATGCAAGTGCTTCAAGCCCTAGGAAAATACACTTAATAAATATTTATTGACCGTTCCATGCTCACGGGATTCCAAGGCAGCCAACTAAATGTCTTCCTGGTTTACACATTAATCTCCAGACTGCCAGAGTCAGGTCCAGAGGCTGCATGGCATGTGGATTACTTCCTCCTCTTCAGGTGGTCTCTTCCTCCCAGAAGCCTGTCTGCCAGCTCTTATCGAAGCTGGGTGTCACCTCTTATCTGAAACTGGAGGTGGAGTTCCCTTTGGTCACAGCGCTTTATAAAAAGAAGTCTCCCGGAAGCATATCTTTTTTTTTTTTTTTTTTGACGGTCCTAGATCGTTTATTTGGTATGAATTTTAAAACATCACATATATTAGTGGTAACGGTGGAGCTGCGTTAATAAGGCAGAATATTGCGCCTTCTCCAGGCTTCATGGAGAGAGTCACCAATAGTGTGGTAGAACTTGTGGCCCTTTCCAAGGTCACGGCTCTTGAGGCCAGCAGACGTCAGCCCATGCATCTCTCTGTGCTTGTGGACTGGTTTGGTGATCCACTGGGTGTCAGGGTTCCTTCTGATAGCTTAATGGAATGGATCAATGAGGGTAGCCTCAAAAAACTTGCATGTGGAATCTTCATCAAGCCAGTAAGAATTCAGGACTCTTAAAGCCCCATAATGATGTCCAGCTCTCTCCTCAGCAACAGACTGAAGGCTTCTGTCAAACTTTAGCTGGTTAATACCATGATGGACAGGTTTGCCTTAAGTTGCATCCCTAGGAACTGGGTGTTTGTGGCCACCATGGCGGACACGAATCCACTATATGACATAACCTTGCTTGGCCTTGTACCCCAACCTTCGCGCTTTATCAGGCCTAGTGGGGTGGGGAGCCCTGTGCAAAGCAGAGAGCTGGGGGTATTGCCAGCAACGGACTCTTAGCAGAAAGCGCACCACAGAGGACTGCTTCTTCCTCCATAGCTCCTGGATGTATTTATATGTAGCCATCTTGGTTCACCTGATGGCTGCCGCCAGAAGAAAGGATGGAAACATCTTCTTAATCCGGGGAAGTGTGCCTCTGTACATTTTTGT